AGTTGTGCACCACCATGCCCAGCTCTTGTTGTTTTTTGTTGTTGTTGTTTTTGTTTGTTTGTTTGGTCTGTTTTACTTATTTAGTTAGTTAGTTGTTGACAGACCTTTATTTTTTCATTTATATGTGGTGCTGAGAATCTAACCCAGTGCCTCTCACATGCTAGGCAAGTGTGCTAGCAAGTGTGCAAGTGAGCCACAGCTCCAGCCCCTTGTTTTGCTTTCTTTGTTTTTGTGGTACTAGGGTTTGAACCCAGGGGCACTTCACCACTTACTATATCCCCAGCCCTTTTTAAATTTTATTTTGAAACAGGTTCTCACTGAGTTGCACAGGCTGGCTTCAAACTTGCAATCCTGCCTCAGCCTCTCCCATCTACTCCACTATATCAGAACCCTACATTAATATGGAATAACAATTTTACTAAGACCAATTTCTACTGTGAGATCATAAAGTAACTTAGTTCTTCATAGAACTAGAAAAGCAAACATGAAATTCATTTGGAAAAATGAGACCCAGAATAGCCAAAGCAATCCTTAGCAAGAAGAGTGAAGCAGGTGGCATCACAATACCAGACCTTAAACTATACTACAGAGCAACAGTAACAAAAACAGCATGTTATTGGCACCAAAACAAGACACATAGACCAATGGTACAAAATAGAAGACACAGAAACAAACTCATATAAATACAGTTATCATACTAGACAAAGGTGCCAAAAACATTCACTGGTGAAAAGATAGCCTATTCAACAAATGGTCCTAGGAAAACTGGAAAGCCACATGTAACAAAATGAAATTAAACCCCTCTCACCCTGCCCAAACTTCAACTCAAAGTGGATCACAGACCTAGGCACTAGAACAAAGACCCAGTGCCTAACAGAACAAAAAGTAGGCCCAAATCGTCATCATGTCAGCCTAGAATCTGACTTCCTTAACAAGAAGTAAAATCAACAGTCAATAAATGGGATGGATTCAAACTAAAAAGCTTCTTCTCAGAAAAGGAAACAATCAATAACATGAAGAGAGTACCTACAGAATGGGACAAAATCTTTACCACATGTACCTCAGATAGAGCATTAATCTTCAGAATATATATAAAAAACTCAAAAAACACCACCAAAAAACCCAAATAACCCAATCAATAAATGGGCTAAGGAACTGAACAGACACAGAA